CTGATTCGATGGAGTTTTGGGTCATATGGTGTCTAGTAAGGGGATCAAGGTAGATCCGAAGAAGATTGAGGTAGTTCAGAGTTGGCCCAGACTGTCTTCAGCTACTGCGATTTGGAGTTTCCTTGGTTTGGTAGTTTATTATCACCGTTTCATAGAGGGTTTCTCATCCATTGCTGCACATTTGACTAGATTTACCCAGAAAGGTGCTCCTTTTAGATGGTTTGAGGAGTTTGAGGCGAGTTTTCAAAAGCTCAAGACTACTTTGACTATAGCCCTAGTGTTTATGTTTCCTACGGGCTCGAGGTCTTACACTATCTATTGTGATGTATCATGTATTGGGCTTGGTGCGATGTTGATGCAAGACGGTAGGGTAATTGCCTTCGCGTCTCAGCAACTGAATATTCATGAGAATAACTATCTGGTGCATGACTTTGAATTGGCAGCTATTTTCATGCATTGAATATTTGAAGGCACTATTTGTACGGTGTTCCATGTAAGGTCTATACCGATCACCAGAGTCTCCAGCATATATTCAAGTAGAAAGATCTCAATTTGTAGCAGCGGATATGGTTAAAGTTGTTAAAAGACTATGATATCACTATTCTGTATCATCTCGGAAAGGCCAATATGGTGGCCGATACCTTGAGTAGAATGGCGAAGAGTATGGACAGTTTGGCATATTTACCGATAGCAGAGAGGCCACTATCCATGGATGTTCAGACCTTGGCCAACCAACTCGTAAGATTGGATTTGGAGCCCAGCTGGGTTCTTGCTTGCATGGTTTCTCAATCTTCCTTATATGAGCACATCAGAGAGCGCCAATATGACGACCCTCATTTGCTTGTTCTTATGGACATGGTACAGCAAGGCGATGCCAATAAGGTTTCTTATGGAGATGATGGAGTCGGATGTAGGGCCAGATATGTGTGCCCAATGTATATGGTTTGAGTGAGTTGATTCTTGAGGAGGCCCACAGTTCGTTGTATTCCATTCATCTGAGTGATGCTAAGATGTATCAGGATTTGAGGCAGCACTATTGGTGGAGAAGAATGAAAAAAGATATAGTGGCATATATGGTTCAGTGCTTGTGCTATTAGGTGAAACATGAGCATCTGAGGTCGGTCGGTTTTCTTCAGAGACTTGAGATCCCTGAATGGAAATAGGAGCGTGTTACCATGGATTTCGTTGTTGGACTCCCACAGACTTTGAAGAATTTGACCTAGTGTGGGTGATTGTGGATAGGCTGACCAATTTGGCACATTTCATCCCGTTGATGACTACCTATTCTTCACAATAGCTGGCTCAGATCTATATTGAGAGATTGTTAGTCTCAATGACATGCCGGTGTCCATTACCTTTGATCAAGACACACAGTTCACATCGCACTTTTGGAGAGCCGTGAAGTGTGAGTTAGGCACACAAGTTGAGTTAAGTACATCATTTCACCCCAGATGGATGGACAGTCCAAGCACACCATTCAGATTTTAGAAGATATTCTACGCACATGTGTTATGGATTTTGATGGTTCATGGGATAAGTTCCCACCACTTGCAGAGTTCGCCTTCAATAACATCTACTAATCGAGTATATAGATGGATCCTTATGAGGCCCTATATAGGAGATGGTGTCATTCTCTAGTCAGTTGGTTTGAGCCGGAGGAGGCTAGGTTGTTGGGCACTGATTTGGTTTGAGATGCCTTGGAGAAACTCAAGTTGATTCAAGATCGGCTTCATATAGCCTAGTCTAGAGAGAAGAGTTATGCTGATCGGAGGGCTCGTAATACAACATTTATGGTTGGAGAGAGGGATTTGCTCTGGGTTTCACCCATGAAGGGTGTGATGAGGTTCGGGAAGAAGGTCAAGTTGAGCCCTATGATTGGTCCTTTTGAGATCCTTAAGAGAGTTGGTGAGGTAGCCTACAAGCTTGCATTGCCACCCATCCTATCGGCGGTCCACCCGGTGTTTCATATTTCCATGCTCCAGAAATATTATGTTGATCCATCCCATGTATTAGATTTTAGCTCAGTCAAATTGGACAAGGATTTGACTTATGTTGAGGAGCCGGTGCCCATCTTGGACAGGAAGGTCAGAAAGTTGAGGTCAAAGAGTATTGTTGCGGTGAAGGTTTGATGGAGGGGTCATTAGGTCGAGGAGGCGACTTGGGAGATAGAGCACAACATGCAGAGTTATTATCCTCACCTTTTCGTTACTTCAGGTATCTCTATACACGTTCGAGGAGGAACATTTGTTTTAAGAGGATGAGAATTGAATGATCTGACTGGTCATTTTGCGTATTTATGCTCGTTTCCCCATTTGAAGCTTCACACATGTTATTTTGATTTTATGACTTACGAGGTTATTTGGTTTCTTTATGGAGAGTTTTTTGGGTTGAGTTAGACCCTTTGGTTCTTGACCTAGAAGCCTAAGTTAGAAATATTAACCAAATATCAGCCTGGCCTGATTTCTTCAAAAGGTTACCGTCTGTAGGGACTTCAATGGTAACTTGTTTCATCGTCCTATTTCCGCTAGAAGAGCCAATTTCAACACGATAGGTTGTAACAGTAGCAACGGTTGAATAAGTCAGAATAGCCACGGGCAGAGCAGTAGCGACAACAATAGGAACAGACAACTGAGGTTCCATCGGAGCAGACACTGGAAAGAGGCAAGAGGCGCTTCCTCTGAAATTAAGCCAAAGTTGTCATTATCAAATCCACTAGAGAAAAGGTGTTCAGTAGAATCATAGGGTGCTGCAGGCATTTCTACATCAGAACTTACTAAAGTAGCGCTCTCAGGCTCAAACATAGAAACAGAATGAGGAAGAGGAGTAGTTTCGTCATCAAAAATGACCCGTCTTCTGGCTCGTGGCTTACGAATCAATGAGCCTTCTTCCCTCTCCTCTTCATCTTCGGAATCATGTGGTCTGTTAGCTTTTTTTTGACAAGGAACTCAAAATTATTTCCTGATCTCTTTCTAAGAAAGCCTAGAGGCAACAATTGACTCAGTACTCATATCCCGAATGGGAAACCCTAATAAAAAGAAGGGTTAATAAGTTTTAAGGCAAGAACAAAAAAAAAGGAGAAACTGGAAGAGTAAGTTACCGTAAGTCTTAACCTAAAGACTTCCAACCAAATCTATTTGAAAGATTCCAAGACCTTACTTCCATAGGAGCAATTGTTAACAATTTTTCTACCCAACCACAGAAATCAGAAATCTCCTCAACAGTTCCTATGGTTGCTGAAAGAGAAAAGTAAAATAGTTAAGAGAAATACAGGCTCTACAAAAAAAGTAAAAAATTAGAAGAAAAACTCATGTGCAAAGTAACACTTCTGAGGGAAGGGCATATTCTCTTCACCTACTAACCCACTTGTGGGAGCATTGACGAACCGGGCATACTAGCCACGATCTTTATCATCCTCAGGGCTGATTAAAACTCTATTAATTCTCGTCACGAGAGTAAAAATCCCATGACGAAATAATTTGGGAGAGTAGAGATGGACTAGATGATTAAAGGTAAAGGGTAATTGAGCCAGGTTAGCCAAATACCTAAGGCATGCCACAACCCTCAATACAATAGGGCCAATCTTCCCTAAATACATGTTAAAGAAATGGCAAAATTCAATAATGATTGGGTCAATAGGAGGCCTAAAACCCAATGTGAATGGATATGTATACACAAAATAAAAGCCAGCTTTAAAAGAAGTGATCCTTTGGTTTTCATTGGGCACCAGAATTGGAAAATCAAATTTCCAATGACAATCTCTACGTACAACGAAAATCAAACCCTCAGTAATTTGGGAGGGGTAAACATCAGCCCGATCATGAGAAGTCATAGAAGTAACTTGATTTCTAATCGATTCTCTATAGAATAGAAGGATAGTTCAACAGGGATGATCTCATCAACTGAAGGTTCACGTATTGATTCACCAGCGTCCCTATTTTTAGCGGAAGATCAATGTGAAAAAGAAGCACTAGTTCTAGAAGATGATGGAGGAGTAGAACTAGGTTGAGAAGCAGAACCCCGTACAGATACTGCTCCTAAACTACGTAACCTACCACCTCTCCTACTTCTGGTAGGAGCAAGAGGAAGTTTATCTACAATAAAAACTGTCACTTCGTGATTGGAGCAGCCGCAAAAAAAACCCTGAAACCCGCTGCAGAGTTGCAGAGCCAATCGATGATTGCCACGTGTTACATGCATTAAATGAAAGTGACATATGATGCATCAATTTAGAAGAAGGTATAATGATACATGGGAAACAACGGCAAAAATTCCCGCCATAAAAGAGATCCACTTCCCAAATATTCAATTGCTGAATAATTGGCAAGCGGGGGGACTACCTGCATTGGGGAAAATAAATATTATACGTGAAATTAATTATGCAGTTGACATGGCAAGATACGTGGATCATTAGAGAAGTGACAGCTGGAAAAGAGTACTTAAAGAGATGCGGGTCTTAATAGGTATGAGCAAAACGTATAAAAGACAAGAAGAAACAGTTGCTTGGGTCTATTGATAATTTGAAGAGACATCGGCGGAATGAATCAAGACAGCAAAAAGTACAGATTCGTTAATCTTCAATTAATGAGCATGAATAATTAGAAACGTTATAAAATCTTCATGAAACAATTACGATTGTCAATTATAACGTTTCATTAATATCATTAAATGCTCATAATGGCTCAATTACTTGAAGGAAGAGATGTTGTACTTAGAAATAGCTATAAAAAGAAGAAAAATTACATTTGTGTGGATACGTTCTGATTATTACTGGAATATACTTATTTACTTTGCTTTATATTGATTGCTTTGCTATTTTTTATTCTAATTTTCCTTTCTCATTACAAAAATATTTCGTTATTTGATTATCAATAACCCGAGTACTTTTAAAAATAAAAATCGAAATTCCTATTTTCTGGTTAAACAATACCTAGCAGGTGGAACATCATATACTATAAATTTTCATGCAATTACTCATCTATTGAACCTCATAAATATAAATATCCCCATACAACAGCCTCCACGAGTCCGAAGCACCTGTCCTCCAATGGAGGACTCATCCAAGCAACCCCTTCTTCCGCCTAGACACCCTCAAATCACCGACCAAGCTAGTGACAATTATCTTATCAGATTATCACATACTTCTTTTGCTCCTTCCTTTGTTGCTGATTCCGATGATATTCCCCCTATTACTGGAATCCGAGATTTCTTCAGAGAGTTTTCTGTTGAATCTAAGAAATTATGGTACCTTGCGGGTCCAGCAATATTTACTTCCCTTTGTCAATACTCTCTTGGTGCTGTCACTCAAACTTTTGCTGGACATGTCGGGACTCTTGAGCTTGCTGCCGTTTCTGTTGAAAACTCGGTCATCGCCGGTTTCTCTTTTGGTGTCATGGTAAAAAAAAAAAGTTTATTCTAGGGACTCTCTGCTCTTTTTTTTTTCATATGGTTTACAAACAGGGCAACAATGACTATGAGACCTCGTGTACTGCAATTTTTTTATATCTCTGAGTTATTACCTAAGGGCAGAGCTTGACTATAAGCGTCCATGTCAATTGAGGGAATGAGTTGTTAGCTATTAGATGTAATTCTTATCTCATGAGCTAATTTTCATATGAGTTGGGCATGATAACCTTTTTCTTCACGTGGTATCAGTAACCCATTCGCATTCTTAGTTCACTCAATATTGAGTTGTGTTATACTCCACGCTCCAGATGTTCAGTCCTAAGCATGCAAGTGTTAAGTGTTTGACATGGTTGAGGGAACGAGAAATTATATTATTATATGATTTTGGGCTAATTCTTACTCCATGGATTAACTTTTAGGATTGAGTTAGACTCAATATTTATTTTCTTCACAATTATAGAGCTAAAAATTGCACGTACTAGAGCTTAACCACATTTATTTTGAATTTAATGGCACCAATATTTTCCATCAGAACCCCCAACCGGAAAGGAATATACAACCATGTTCTTGATTTAATTATAAATATTTTGATCATAATTTGTTTGAATTTTGAATTGATGGCCATTGTTTTTTTGTTTGGACAGTTGGGAATGGGAAGTGCGTTAGAAACATTATGTGGACAAGCATTTGGAGCAGGACAAATTGACCTGCTAGGAGTATACATGCAAAGGTCATGGGTTATTCTCAATACAACAGCAGTAATTCTAATGTTATTTTACATTTTCGCGGCGCCATTTCTGAGATTAATTGGACAAACAGAGGACATATCACGGGAAGCAGGGAAAATGGCGTTATATATGATTCCTCAACTTTATGCATATGCCATGAATTTTCCAATCGCCAAGTTCTTGCAGGTATAGGTGGACTAAGGATTCAATTTGATGGTTTAATATTTAAGTTCTTATTATTGAACTTATTATACTTCTGAAATTACGAGTTCAAAATTTAATATTTGGTAGAATTTTAGTGATTTTTCATACATATATTTATGTCTGTGCTCCGAAAATCTACTATACAGTCACAAAGCAAAATTATGGTCATGGCATGGATTGCAGCAATAGCTTTGGTATTGCATAGTTTTTTCAGCTGGTTATTTATGCTAAAGCTCGGGTGGGGGCTCGTCGGCGCTGCGGTGGTGCTGAACTCATCGTGGTGGTTCATAGTGGTGGCGCAGCTGCTATATATATTTAATGGGACTTGTGGACAAGCTTGGTCAGGTTTCTCATGGAAGGCTTTCCATAATCTATGGGGCTTTGTTAGATTATCTCTTGCGTCAGCTGTCATGTTATGGTGGGTAATCCACCTTCCATTTTCTTTGTTTTTATTGCGAACAACTTTTAGTGATGCCTAATTTTCGGTTTTATTATATTTGGAAAAGGATTTTCTTTTATTCATCCACCCAGTAAAATCAATTTTATTTAATTTTAACATGTTTCAATAATTATGGCAAGTTACCTTTAGTAACTTTAAGATGTCCTCATGGTAATAGCATTTACGGATGCCATTTAAGGTCACCATCAACACGTTACAAAATATACTAAGAGCTGATCATATACGAAACATACAGTAGTTACCTATTAAGCTTTTGGTCTAAGTTTTCAGCTAATTAAGGAATCTTAATTTAATGGAAAGATAGTTTTACGTTTTAAATTAGTGGTCCTCTTGTTTCTGATCACTATGTTTTTCTTGATCTGATTTTTGGCTCTAATTAATAAATATTCAGCCTGGAAGTTTGGTACTTTATGGCGTTGGTCCTCTTCGCTGGTTATTTAAAGAACGCAGAAGTCGCTGTTGATGCCTTGTCCATTTGGTAAGTGTCGAATTGCTCTCTTGATGCTTATTGTCTGGCCATATTTCGAACACATTAAACTCTTTATAATTTGCCATAGTTATTTAATTTGTGTCATATATTTTCCTTTTCTATTGTTTATATTATTCTACTTTGGTGGCTGTGTTTGTATATTAGACGATAAAAACTTATAAATGGGGCGGCTTGACAAGAATACTTTGAGTCAACGGTCCGTCACTTGTCCTTTCCTTTGGAGTTGGTGGAAAGTAATTAGAGACAAAAATCTTGTAAAGGTCATACACTACTAGTGGGAGTAATTTTAATCTTTGCCAAAATAATACTGTTTTAACAAAGAAATAATAATTTATGTCATTTTCAACATAGTCCGTTGTTTTGCTAATGTTTAGATGTAAAAACAAACTCTAACACGGCAAAGAGAAGAAGTGGAATCCACCATTGCCAATTTTATCTTGTAAGAGCCACTTGGATGAAGTTAAAATGCCAATATATATTCAGAGATTATTGCTCCATTGCTTGCATTATTACAAGTATATATTATTATACTCCTAGAACGATAATTGGACAAACTTAAATCAACTAGGAGTGTAAGAAAAAACTATCATTATAGTTTGGAAAGGGCCTCCCTTCGAGAACACCATAGTGAAATAATGGAAGAGAAAGCTAACTTTAGGCGTGTTTCATTAGATGATATCAATGATTTATTTTCAATTCAAGAATAAACTATTGACATTTTAATATCTTTGTAATCTGGGATTAGTACGTCTCTAGGAACAAAAATTATTACTTAGTCAATTTCATTATGTTTCACTCTCTTACTTTTGTCTCCCTCTTACTTCGTTCCACTCTCCTACTTTTTGGTACACTATATTTTTCTCGTTTAAGTTTTAAAAAATATCTGGAACATTATTTCTCTTTATAGCAACTTATATCTCAAATTGTTTTTATTTTCAATACCCGCCATTATTAGTTCTAATAAGTACTCTCTTCGTCCTAATTTATGTGGCGATGTCTGATTTTAAGAGTCAGACGATTTTTATTTATTGCAATTTTTTTCATATGCCTTTTGAATGTTTAGAATTATTTGTTATTTTGATTTATAATACTTTTTATGTAGTTTGTGAAAATATAAATTTTATTTTTGAAAAAAGTTAGTAAAAATTATATATATAAACTAATGGTCAAAATCAAGAAGTTTAACGTTTGAAATTTGAATATTGCTAGTGTGCTACGTAGATTGGGAGGGAAAGAGATGCAACTTTTTGACTTTTCTTTCTCACTTCTTCAATTTGGAAAGAGTTTTGTTTGTGGGCAGGGCGTCCCAACCCCAAAGCTCTTAAAATCCTTGCTCTTTTGGAGCCCCAAAATTACTCATGTAATATTATTTAATGTCTATTCAAGTAATCACTATTGATTATCATTGAAGACAGATAAATCTTTTCAAACATTTGATGTTAACTTGTCTCTTTTCATTATAATCACATAATGTCGGTAGACTTCATACATATAAATAAGAAAAACTATATATGGATTTTATATCCAAGTTTACGGTCTCTAGTTAAAATTTCACTTTATCTCAACTATTCTATTAAGCTGCCCCTTCTATGGGGGCGGGGTTCTACTTTCAATTGCAAATTGAACTATCGTGTACTAGCTTCTATTTCATCTTTGTCTAAAGAATTAAGAGTTGTCAAAAACTGTAGTATGAACATATTGGGCTGGGCGGTGATGGCAGCTATTGGATGCAATGCAGCTATAAGGTTTGACATAAATCCAAAATGACTATATTAGTAGTAAGACAAGAGTAGTTCTCTTGTACATTCTTACATGAAAAATAATACTCAAAATTTTCAGCGTGAGAGTGTCAAATGAACTCTGGGCAGCTCATCCAAGAACGGCTAAATTTTCAGTGGTAGTGGTGGTAGTATCCTCATTCTTGATTGGCCTTCTTCTATCGGTGTTTTTACTTGTCTTTCGAAGGCAATATCCTACCTTATTCGCGGAGAGTGAATCAGTCAAGCATCTTGTCTATGAGCTAACACCATTTCTAGCATTCTGCATAGTGGTTAACAATATTCAACCTTCTCTATCTGGTGTGGCAATTGGAGCAGGATGGCAAGCTTTGGTTGCTTATGTCAATATTGCTTGTTACTATTTGTTTGGTATTCCACTGGGTTTATTATTAGGGTATAAGCTCAATATGGGTGTCCAAGTAAGTGTAACATGTCATTTTGTAAACCTACTTAATTATTTTTTCTTGTTTTAAATGGTCCTTTCATTTGACATATTATCTTCATTTTTGTTCATGATGTCAGGGTATTTGGTATGGAATGGTTAGCGGAACTGTGATTCAAACTTTCGCCTTGTTTTGGATAGTTTACAAAACCAACTGGAACAAAGAGGTAACTTGAAAAATACTAATCCCTTCTGCGTTGCTGAATAAATCAAACAATCTTGACACATCACATAAAGGTAGTTACATATGATATCCGTAATAAATTGAATTATAACCTAAAGAATAAGGTAAATTTTTCTTTTTCATCATTAAGGTACTAAAATAGGGTAAATAAAATACACTGGCTGAAAATTTTTTATGCATCCATTCTTCCATTGTGATTCAATTGTATCGATTCCCTCCGCCATGCCCAAACCCAAAAACAAATTGTCCCAGTTTGATTCACAAAAAAGATTTAGAGAAGACTGGGAAATGTGTCCCAATTTCCTTCTCCAAATCCTTTTAATTTCAATGTGTAGTTGTCTAAAAATATTAAAATATATTTCCATACTATTGAGAAACAAACATATGTACATTAAATTTCACTTGTTGCTATTTGTACGATCACCAACCATCATCGCGTTGCACCCAAACCCACCAATTATCACCATTGTTATGCTGCAACAACTTTATGACGATACATTTATAGCATGGTCTTTATAAAAGAGAAATTTTCATAAAACACTATCTTTTAGTGGTAATTAGTTATCTATAAATATCATTTGCTATATTACGGATTGTAGATACGTTTTCTGTTGTTATAAGATGTATTAGATGTATTTAAGCTATTGTATTAATGAATACAGTAGCAAAAATAGGCGTGAATCAGGGAAGTCCAGCTAATCAGTTGTTGTTGTAGGCATATAAATTTTAAATCCATAAAAGAATTTGGATTATATTTTAAATTCAAGATACATTGGTCCAAATAAATATATGGGCTAATATAATTGAATTAATTATATAAGTCCAATATATATGGATTAAATAAATAAGTCTTAATCCATTGGGCTAGCCCATTTAATTGGGCTAAAGTGATGAGCCCACTTCATTAAGCCTAAGATGTCATCTTCCTGGGGGGCCAGTTTGGTGCCACGTGTCAAATGACGTGGCGCGCCAAGTCAAACGAAAGAGCCAAGAGGATCATGCCATGTGTCAAAATGACAAGGCATGCCAAGTCACACTAAAAGGCCAATGAAATCGTGCCACGTGTGCAAGTGACATGTTCTGGCCAATCAAATGCAGTCATGTCACACTTCAATTTGATTGGTTGGAAAGAGTTTGTTCTTATCACAACTCTTCCCCTTCCACAACTATAAATAGGGGTCTTTATAACTCAGAAAAGACACCAGAAGTTATAACAAAAAGCAAGAAAGAGCTCGTGGATCAAACGCTGCAAATTCCTCCACAAGTTTCAGGCTTCAAGTTCAAGTTCAAGAACGAAGAACAAATCAAGGTCAAGTTCAAGCGATCAAGCTCAAGCTCAAGAACAAGATCATCGTTCGAGGCAACAAATACATATTCAAGATCAAGCTCAAAGGCCCTTGAATTTATTTACTATCGAAAAGTAGAATCAAAGGATTCATAGAGATTGTAATACTCAAATATTCGAAATAAAATACTACGATTGTTGCGATATTTTTCGGGCTTGATTTTATTTTCTCGAACCAAATTTATTGTCTACAAATTCTGGCACGCCCAGTAGGACAATCTCTACTTCTCATCTCAACTTTTCAATCACCAAAGTTCAAGAACATTGAAATGGCCTCGAAGAAAATCAACTCCAGATCAACATTCACCAGGCTGCTAACTCCAGGTTATATGCTGATGTGGAAGGCATCCTCGATGTCACCTTTGGAAGCTTCGGACCAGTTACGAGGAGTAAAGCAAGTTCTTTAGGACAATAAGCACCCCAAGTGTCGTCCGCATCAACCCCTATTTTCTGATATTCATCCTCAAAAGGAGCAAGATCTTCCACAAATGCATCTGAAGGAGGAAGCGATATTGCTGAAAAGATCAAGAAAACTCTTCCTCTGCTTGACCTCTCCGACTCCAAGCACTCTGCTGTGAAAGAAGATGATGATGCTTCAAGAGATGGATCCTCCGCACTTACACCACATAGTGTGAGCCAATCAAGGATCAATCTGTGTGAAAATCCATGCTACTCTCCGTCATCCACGACAATCATGCAAGCCATGGTGACAAACACTTCATCTATGGAGGAGCAGTTGGCAAACTTGACGGAAGCAATCGCTGGCTTGACCAAATGCATGCAAAATCAAGAGGCTAGAATTGACAAGCTAACAGACAGGGTGAGAATCTTGATGGAAGAAGAATCTACCCTTGCACCCGGCAAGCTCCCAGAAGTTCTAGAGAGTGACTCTCCCCTAAGATAAGCAGCATCCACTAAGGCTATCCCTGTCTCATCTGAAAGGATGATTCCAATCGATCAACTGAAGGTGTTCATCGAAGGAACCATTAAGAACAAATATGAAGTTGCTGCCAAATCCTCCCTTACATATGCAAAGTCGTATACTGCAAGGGTCGATATGTTGAAGATGGCCTGCTGGCTATTAACCTCCGAAGTTTCAACAGTTTGATGGTAAAGGTAACCCAAAGCAACATATTGTGCACTTCGTGGAGACGTGCAACAATACTGGGACTTATGGAGATTACCTCATCAAGCAGTTTGTCCACTCGCTAAAAGGAAATGCTTTTGACTGGTACACGGACCTCGAGGCTGGATCTATCGACAACTGGGATCAACTAGAGCAAGAGTTCCTCAATCGCTTTTATAGCGCAAGACGCACGATGAGTATGATAGAGCTTACAAATACTCGTCAACGAAAGGGGGAACCAGTTATCAACTTTATGAATCATTGGAGGAATGCAAGCCTCAACTGCAAAGACAGGCTTAGTGAAGCTTCAGGCATAGAGATGTGCATCCAAGGCATGCATTGGGGATTGCGTTACATCTTGCAAGGTATCAAGCCTAGCACATTTGAAGAACTTGCAACTCGTGCCCATGACATGGAATTGAGCATGGCCTCCGCTGGAAATGAAAGGCTACCCATCTATGAACCTCGCAAAGTGAATGACAAGCAAGAATTCAGGAAGTGGGGCAAGTTCGTACCCAAGTCTAAAAGCAAAGAAGCTATGAATGTCAATACGTCACCTATGAAGTTCACGACGAAGGTGAGCAAGAAGTAGGGTATGAAATCCACTTCTTTTCAAGACAAGCCAAGTGGAAAGTTGACTCTAAAAGAAATGTAGGAAAAAGAGTACCCATTCCTGGATTCTGATGTGCCAGCCATTTTCGAAGAATCCCTCGAGTTAAATCTCATTGAGCTTCCAGAGATGAAGTGACCAAATGAAGCTGGGAAAACAAATGACCCGAACTACTGCAAATATCACCGACTTGTAAGCCACCCTCTGAAGAAGTGCTTTGTCTTCAAGGATAAAGTTATGGATTTGGCTCGCGAAAAGAAGATCGTGCTTGAAGATGAGAAAGCAAGCGCAAACCAAGTCTCTATCACCTTTGGCTCATTCAGTCCGGATGACTTATGTGGTTTTAAAGAAAGTAAAGATGAAGAATTACTAGAGAGAGACAAAGATGAAGTCAATCAACCTAATGACGATGAAGGTTGGACATTGGTGACTCGTCGTAGGCACCACAAAAGGAGCCCACGAAAAGAATCAATAGAACAACCAACAAGGAAGATAATGTAAAAAGACCAACGAAAAAGAATCCAATTAGGCATTTGAAGAAAGCAAAAGTAGAGATGCACCATTCTCAAAAGCCACGAAATCCAGTGACCTTGGAGGAGTTTTTACCAAGTTGGTTCCGCATGAAGATTTCCCATGAGGGCATTGATGCCTCTTGTTGCCATGCTGACAAAGGGGAAGAAAAGAGTGATGACCTACCGTTGGCACCATCTTTGGATAAGCCCATCGAGTCCACTCCTCAAGAAGTTAATGCTTGTGAGGAAAATGTCACATTCACAAATGACGATCTTTTGCTAGGTGACACTCCTCATAACCGCCCATTGTACATGGTTGGCTATTTACGCGATGAAAGGGTAAATCGAATTTTGGTTGATGGGGGATCCTCAGGGAACATTTTGCTAATCCACGCTATGAAAGAACTTGGTATTCCCATGAACGAACTCTCAGAAAGTCGTGTGATGATCCAAGGATTCAACCAAGGGGGAAAAGAGCCATAGGCGTGATCAGGATGGGAATCACTATTGAAGATATGTAATCAAGTGCATGGCTGCATGTGATCAACGCGAAGACTTCATACAATGTTTTGCTTGGGAGGCCTTGGATACATGAGAATAAAGTAGTTCCATCTACCTACCATCAATGTTTAAAATATACGAGGGTAAAGTTGAGAAGACGATAGTTGTTGATGATGAGCCATTCACCGAGGCTGAGTCACACTTTGCCGATGCAAAGTTCTACTTGAAGAACCGCATTGTGAAGGAGCTGAAAGTTGATGATGGTACAAAAAGCAAGAATGATGAACCCATAACTAAAAGAGCTGATGTGACTATTGGTAAAGCCAAAACTGTTACTAAGGAGGTACCCGCCAATGTGAATAAATCTCATAAAGGGGGTATTGCGTCTTATGGAAAGAAAGTAAGTCCCGCGCTCCAATATGTCCCTAAAAGGAAGAAAGACGAGGGCGAATCACAAAATCTCCAAACCAAGACGCTAAGGGAGTTAACTCTTCCGGTAAAACGAATTGAGGAAGTAAAGTTGTCCTCAAAGCCGCTTGCAGGGTTTGTAGCCCAAAATCGTTTGCAGAATGTGGCAGTCCCTACAAAGCGAACAGATGAAGGTTTCGATCCTAACGCTTACAAGCTATTTGCAAAAGTTGGATACAATCTCAATGAGCCGTCAAAGTTAGGGAAGTTCCCATCAGAAGTTGCAACGAGGAAACCACGTGAAGGTCTGGGATACAAGCAACTGTCACCAGTGCGCATCTCAATAAGAAGGGCGAGTAGCAATTATATATCAGTGTAGAAGACGAATCTGCTGCTTCTAACAGGCATTCTGCCTTTGATCGAGTTGGAAAATCAACTATGAGAACTTCTGTATTTGAGAGATTGGGTCCATTAAAGAAGG